TTGAACTTTTGCATAATTCCCTAACCTTTTTCTGCAACAGCTCTACTATTTTTCTGCAACCAACAATTGAAAATGCCTGGTTTCTTAGTGTGCATCATTTAATTTACTCAGTCTTAAGCTATATCATCTTGTCTCTCTTGCATCGAATGGAGAATCTCAAGAATTCAGTAAGTTAGATAACATAGAGCACATAGTCACTAGATAATCGGCCCAACAAATTGCTGTCATTTCCTAGGATCTTCATCCAATTGCAATAATTTCTCATTTATGCCCAGATGAGTGCCATAGTCTGATCCACCCATGCAAATTTCTGTTATTTTTTAGGAAATTCATCACTTGTAATGATTTCAGTTGTCTAGTGTACTAGATCAACCTGTGTCGTTTTTATCTGTGTTTCTGTGCTAGCTATTGCATTATCTAAATTTGCCTAATGCACAGGACAAATCGTGGAGGCTTTCAGCGAGGTCGTGGTCGTGGTCGTGGCCGTGGCAGTAGTGTTAGAGGCATTGGTCGTGGCAGTGTTAGAGGCATTGGTCGTGGCCGTGGCAGTGGGAGAATGCAAAACGTTGAGAAGTCAGCAGATGACCTGGATAAGGAGTTGGATACCTATCATGCCGAAGCAATGAACACATCTTAATGCAATCTGGTGCTTGTGCAGAGTGCTTGGATTCCTGCTAAAGGGTGTGATAAAATCATGAAAGTATCACACTATGGTATTTGGGTTCCAGTCTTTTGGACTGGGCTTATAAAGAACAGACTCCTGCTACATATGCGCCGGAACCAGTAGTTCAGATTATTTTCTCTCTCTTGTTGTTGGCATTTCAGAGTGCCCTAGTTGATTGTAGCGAAACTAGTGTGGCTTGCTCCATGGATTTCTGATCCAGTTAAGACTAGTTGACCTGTTTGCCTGATTGTTGTTACCTCCTAGTATTTCACTGTATGTGGCTTTCCTTGGATGCTTTATTAAAGCCTCTTTCATGTGGGATTGATCGTCGTGAATGTTTTCCATTTCCAAAGCAGCCTTTTTTGAAGCTCATATTGTTGTTCTCTCCCCCGGTCTTTTCTTTTTCTTTTTGCGATGCGGAATGGGGGGAGGTAAGTGATCTCTTTGATCCAATCAATGCTTCTTCCATGTGTTTTGTGCAGTAATGACTACGACTTACTCTAGTATTACATTTGATTTCCAAGTTACCATCGATCTCAATAGCCCCTTAGGCTGTAGAACGATGACCCATTCCTGAAACGAGTTTAAGCAGCACTTACACAGCGTGGTTGTTGATCGATCGAGTTCGTGGAAGACGTCCGATTGCTTCCAGAATATTGTCACATATTTGATGCTGAGGTGTTTAACCATCTAGATGCATACAAGTAGTACGGCGAAGAAATCCAAAACGGTAGCTCAAACCCTCTCTCTCAGCCTTTATTCCAGACTTTCTCAACTCACCGGTGATGCCTTTTGTTGTCGAAGCTGCTTTCTCGGCTTCGACCTCTGATTCTTTTCGAGAGGTTCCGTTTGACCTTTGAATGCAAAATAATGGGAACGTTCACTGCCACATAATGTATACGATCAACTCGGTCTCGCCACTGTTTTTTTCCTGTCGCATTCCCTCGGAACGTCGCTGTTACGTTAACCGCGTGGTCTCCACCCTTTTTATTTGCTGCCCTCTCACTTTCAACACGCTACAATATCTACCATATTATACAAGTAGAACCGAAAAGAAACAAATATATCATCATCCTCTGTATGCATGTCATAAGTAGCTAACGATGCATTAACATTTGCATCAAGAAACCTATTACAGTAATTTCAAAGTGGATCCACATACTATCAAGTTGATCAAATCTGATCTATTTGGGTTGCATCAAATGTGACCAAAAAAATGAAACTGAGTGGAGCTATGATTATTATTACTCATAGAGATTGGATTATTTGCTCCAGCTTTAATATGATACGTGCAAGTTTCTTAGTAATTAATTTTTACGCATTTGGCATTATAAGTTTTAGTGCGCCATGTCTACATAAACAACCATCTTAAATGGTAAGATCTATCTATCTATCTTTCATACATACCTGTTTTCTTAACTCATCCAAGAAAACTCAGGTTAACAACTTCTAACTATGGTTAACGCCATGTTAGTTTGAAGTAAACTTAATGTTTCCACTATATAATACCATTTGAGTTTCAATTAACAGTCATCTAATTGAGATCTACAACCGGGTCACACACATACATACATATATATATATATTGAAGTCTATAAAAGCTTTGATATTCTCATGATTGCATCACAAGTTAGGCTCTTGAAGAGGCTAATTAATTAATAGGTTAACATAGAGTGTTTGGATGTAAAAGCATAGATATTTTACGTGACTGGATTGGCAAACGTATGACGTCGCAAAAGAAGGGCACGCACGCATGCATGCATGCAACACGGAGGGGAAGGAGAGACGGAGGAAGAAGGGCAAGTTCGAGGAACCTCGGCAGCATTTCCCAATGAGGCTTCTTAGTACGTAAACAACAAGCTGAGTGCTTTATCCTTGATTAATAGCGAGAGTAGCTGATACGGAATTGGTCTCGTCCTCTAAAGTGCAAACGAATGGAAATTTGGTTGATGACGGAGTCAATAACAAATATGTCGGCACGTTGAGAGAGTCTTCGGTCAATCCAATTATTGACTCACGAAATTGCCACAGTCGACAAGATTGTTTAGCGTAATATGAACTTGATAGAGTCAGCTTGGGTTCTCACCGTTGACTTTGACAAGCCGACATGGATTATATATACATACATACATATATATGCATATATATCATCAATAGCATGTGATGTTGTAACACATTCACCGAGTGGTAGATATAACTCGGCCATTTAAATCAATCATTTTCATCATAAGATTATGAACTTTTTATCTCTCTCATGCAAAACTTTTCGCATTTCTTTTGTGAAATGGAAATTCGAATGATTTCAATGTTGTGAAGAGAAATATTATTAGTCTGTCATTTGCATCATCGGTTACAGGTTCCCATCATCCTCATACAAGCCTTTCCATTTGTGTTGATTGGAGTTGCAAGGCCTAAAGATGAACTATAATTCAATTTACTATAAATTTAAGTGAGAATAATAATTGACTATAGTTAGTTAGTCTCCATAAACTATCATTTAGATATTAGATGATATTCTATTTTATTGTGACGATAAGCGCATCAAAGTTTTCTTTTTGGTATTTATGTTTTTGTATAATTTTTTAAACTTTTCTAGAATGTTACACTAAAATTGAAATTTTAAATCCGACAAAAGATATACTACACCTAAAAAAGATTTTATGCAGAGGAATTTCCCAATCCCATCATGCTGAGCATAATTGCAAGTTTTAGGGTTTTTCTTTTTTTATTTTTTATTGTGATAAGTTTAAGATTCGAGTAAATAAGTATGGAAGTAATTAATTCTCAAATAATGATAAATGCTAAGCATAAGTGCAAGTTTTGGGGTTTTTATTTTTATTGTGATAAGTTTAATATTCGAGTAAATAAGTATGGAAGTAATTAATTGTCAAATAATGATAAATGCTAAGCATAAGAGGAAGTTTTGGGGATTTTTTATTGTTAATTTTTATTGTGATAAGTTTAAAATTCAAGTAAATAAGTATGGGAATAATTAATTATCAAATGAAGAAAAATGATGAGCAATAAGTGCAAGTTTTGGGGTTTTTTATTTTTATTTTTTATTGTGATAAGTTTAAAATTCAAGGAAATAATTAATTATCAAATAAAGATAAATGCTAAGCATAAGTGCAAGTTTTGGGGGTTTTTGATTGTTAATTTTTATTGTGATAAGTTTAAAATTCAAGGAAATAAGTATGGGAATAATTAATTATCAAATGAAGATAAATGATGAGCAATAAGTGCAAGTTTTGGGGGTTTTTTATTGTTAATTTTTATTGTGATAAGTTTAAAATTCAAGTAAATAAGCATGGAAATAATTAATTCTCAAATAAAGATAAATTCTGAGCATAAGTGCAAGTTTTGGGGGTTTTTTATTGTTAATTTTTATTGTGATAAGTTTAAAATTCAAGTAAATAAGTATGGGAATAATTAATTATCAAATAAAGATTAATCTTGAGCATAAGTGCAAGTTTTGGGGTTTTTTAAAATTTTTATTGTGATAAGTTTAAAATTCAAGGAAATAAGCATGGAAATAATTAATTATCAAATAAAGATAAATGCTGAGCATAAGTGCAAGTTTTGGGGTTTTTTATTGTTAATTTTTATTGTGATAAGTTTAAAATTCAAGTAAATAAGTATGGGAATAATCAATTATCAAATGAAGATAAATGATGAGCAATAAGTGCAAGTTTTGAGGTTTTTTATTTTTATTTTTTTTTGTGATAAGTTTAAAATTCAAGGAAATAAGTATGGAAATAATTACTTATCAAATAAAGATAAATGCTGAGCATAAGTGCAAGTTTTGGGGTATTTTATTTTTATTTTTATTTTTCGTGATGAGTTTAAAATTCGAGTAAATATGTATGGAAATAATTAATTATCCAAAAAATAAAAAATAAAAAGCATCAACGCGTTTTCATATATTTAATTCAGGACACGTCGATAATGGAAACAGAGGGAAAGAAACCACCGAGAACGAGCCGCTCCCGCGGTGACGAAGACCAAGAATCTTTCTCGTCCCTCCGCCCCCTCCTTAGCTCCTATATATAATCGCCGATCCCCCCCATGAACCATCGGTGCCTCCTGCCTTCCCTCCTCTCTCTCTCTGCTTCCCCCTCTTGGATTGTTCCGTCTCCGGAGGCAGCAGTTGGATGAGAGAAAGAGGCGCCGTCGCGAAGGAGCCGCTTTTGTCGCTCCCCTTTGCCCCACTTCGATCCCAAATACTCCGTCTTCTTCAGTCGCCCAGACCGGGATTCTTTCGAAACGAGACCGCGGCTTGATCCTAATCGATTCGTACACTCCACTAAGGTTCTGGTGAGGAAATTCCAGTGAAAGAATGGTTGAGTTGGTTTCTCGCCGCGGAAGGACGCTGCAGCGGTACAACTCCGGCTGCCGCCTCGTCGCCGGGTGCGTTTTACTTGTCATCTTCTTCTGTTCGCTGTTTTGGTGGCATTTGATGCGACGAGTATGGCGGATTTGACATGAGAATTTGATCTTGATTTCCGAGTCGATGCATTTGTTTTCGCAATCCCGATTAGGGTGAAAAAAAAAAAAAAAGAGATTTTTGAAGCTAAAACCGGAGCTTTTGTGTTCCATCGACCATTGGGTCTAATCATGGATGGGAAGTCTCATCCTCTGTTCTAGCCTTCATTCCTTCACGGATTCTGTGGCTAATTGGCATCAGATTGCAACTGGACTCGAATCAGAATCTTCTTTTTATCTTCTTCGCCTCCATCAATCTCATGTCGCCTTGCGTTTGTGCTACGCAGATGCATTCCCTACAGGTTCAAGAAGACGGACAAGCCATCTTTAGGAGACATCGATCAAGCGATCGAGGTTATGGTCGTAAGCTCTCAAAAGGGACGTGAACTCATGTTCCCAAAGGTACATATACCAACCAAACGTGTACATATATCTACCATCTGCATCGTAGAACTGCAATGTTCTAACCCTGAAATGCTTTGTATTCCTTGACAGGGAGGTTGGGAGCTTGACGAAAGCATGCAAGCAGCAGCCGCCAGGGAGGCATTTGAGGAAGCCGGCGTGCGAGGGAAGTTCGAGGTCAGCTCCCAACTCAACACTCTCCTCTCTTTCCATTCATTCTGCAGAAGAGAACACCTGACCGATCACCATGATTCTACAGGGCAAGCTTGGGAAATGGCCTAGCAAGGAGCAAGACAAGATCCACCACATGTTCGCCATGAGAGTCACAGAGGTGCTGCCACAGTGGCCGGAGATGAACGCCCGAGAACGGAAATGGGTAGGTATAGCTAGAAAACATGCAAACCGGACCGGATGCATGCATGCATCCATCCATCATCCTCCTTCACGGATCCCTCCCTGATGTCTTTGTCGATTCCGTGAACCAGGTGAGCGTGGCAGAAGCAAGAGAAGTATGCAAGCATGCATGGATGAGTGAAGCGCTGGATAAACTGCAAGAGCTTCTATCGACTTCAAGCGAGCAAGACAACTGTTCGGCGCAGCACGCACTGACACCACTGACCGAGAACTCCATTCTTTCCTGTACATAGAAACTGCAGGATTCACGATTCTTTATATATCAGCGGAATAAGGCAGGGAAATAGCATCCTCGATTGACTGACTTGTAATAGCAGCATAAAATAGTTGTCTCTTTTGTTCCTTGCCAAATACTTTCTATGCAGTATCACTCTCTCTCTCTCTCTCTCGTCGCAAGAAGTATCTGAAAATATATCAATTGTGCGTAGTGATTGATTAGGACTTCAATTCCCGTTGTTTGTATTTAGTACAGATCGTCTTTTTTTTAATATAAAAAGAAGAAGAAAAAAAAGTTAAATTATCTTATTGACCAAATGAAGCAATCCCATCCCTTTCCGCATGAACTAAAAGATTTACATCCCGAGAAAATGAATTCCTCCCAAGATTAGAAAATCTATTGGCCCTAACATGATCGGTCAGCTACTCAATAATATGATTTCCTTCACAGAATATATGCATTGCTTTACAGGCAAATATATAAGGTGAAAAGTGTTTCTAATAATATTCAGAATTCTCCTAGGGGAAGAAAATTGTGTACAAAAAATATTGACCATCGTCTTAAAGACTAATTATTATTATTTCGCACGTCAAGATACCTCCGGTATACCGTCAAGAAAATTGTGTACAAAAAATATTAGCACAATGAAAATCATCCTCAAATGCCAAACAAAACCCCTCTGGTATAATTTTTGCTTTATAATAATTATTATTTCGCACGTCAAGATACCTATAACCCAAAAAAATCAACAAAAGGTCGAGCGGTAAAGCCAATAATTTGATATAATAAATTGATATTTTTTCATTTAATAGGATGTTCAATGGATTTGATAGTAAAATATAAACAAAAAAAAAGATAGTTTTAAATAATAAAATAATAGAATAATGAGTTAAATTTTTAAAAATGGTATTATTTGAAGAACTCCATGAAAATGAAATGAAAGAGAGCCTTCCTATATTCAAAAATCATTGAGCCAAAATTCGAAGAAATCAAAGTGTAAACCGAGCCGATCCTTACATACACACCAAAAAGTCAATGAAACAAAACATTGAAATAATAAATGATCAATCGATCTTAAATCAATGTTATAAAAGGCACATAACTTTTGCTTATAGAATCCTAACACTGCAAGCCGATCCGATGTTGACGTCAAGTAACTTTTAACAAAATACCTTCACCAACAGGCATAAGGGGGTGGTTGACAAACACATCGCCGCCTGTGACTTGCATTAGGAAGGTGCAATAAATGAGATATGTTGACTTTGTAATAGCTATGTCATGACACTCTCATGTCTCTAAAACCAACTATCATTATAGATAGTTTTATCACATCGACACTATTAACTCTGTTAACAAGAGAAAAGTCAAACAAATCTTTAAAAAGTCAAAAGTTCCATCTTCCATTAGATATCAAAATTAGAAACCATACAGAACTCAGTGTATTAGATCACCATTAAAAAAGATGGGTTTGAGATTAATTGGGACATCGAAATTCCAAGGATCAAAGAAAATGGAAGTATCATATCCAATAAATTAAAAAAAATTCAAATATAAGTTTTTCCAAATATTTAAGGAAAAACTATCTAAGCCCAATGAGATTTTTCAAGAATCGACCGTATCATATTTAACACTCATGATTTGAAGTAAGATACATGATCATCATCATCATCATCTTAAACGTGACAAGATTATTAATCCGAAGAAAACTCAAATTGAAGTATTTCTTCCAAATATACTTGTAATAAATAGTATGATGTCCCAATATGATGTTATGTTTGAATACAAGGGTAGGAGAGAATTGTGTGTCTACTTTGCTAGTGATGGGTTAATTCATATGAAAATGAGTTGATAATATAAAATCTCAAATTAAATTGATGGAATGAAAAATGATGCTTCTTAAATGATGTTGGCAAATAAAAGAATCACACAGGTTACCCACTCAGCAAAACCATTCGTTCGTGGATGGATTAGAACACATGTTTGCTTCATTTCCACACAAATTATCTTGATAACAATAAGTCTATTTTATATTTTATATTTATTAATTGAAGGAGTAATTAAAAAAATAAAATAACATATTATTACATTATCAACAATAAAAAACTAATTTTATAAAATGCTTTAAGACTATTAATCGTCAGTGTGGTCATTAGAATTAGTATAGACAAACTCAATTGTCAAATTATTAATGATACTTTATGATATATCACAATAATTTTTTTTTATCTAGGAATAATAAGTACTCTAGTAGTTATACGCATTATAGTATAAAGTATCAAAGAAAAGAGTTTAAAATAATTAATATTAATTAAGAAGTTAAATTATAGTATATTGATTGTCGATCCATCACTTAAGATTTACAACCTAAAGTGTTTAAAAGAATATATTTTTATGATTGAATTTGTGAGTAATACATAAAAGATATATTAATATATGTTTGAGTATATATTATAATTAATATTCTTGTTTAAATAATTAAAGTTATTTAATTTTTTTATTCTACTCATATTTATGCATGTACGTATTATGGTTGAATGTGCTAACAAATTATTTTGATAAGATAAATTATAGAAATCATTTTAGATTACATTAAAAAGGGTCAATAATATTACAGTATATAGAAGGATATATAATATTAATAACATAACTCCTAAAGTCAAACATAATATGATATTATTATATTTATTAGACTTATTGACCCATTTTATAAAACTTATATAAAAATATTTTGTAAGTTTTAAAAACAAATTAAATAAATTATTTTTAAATAAAATTTTATTTTATTTTATTTTAATTTTTTATATCTTACTAATTAACAGTCAAGTCGAAGAATATTATATTATGTGACCATATCTAATTAGGTAAGATATATTATAGATATGATTAGATTATAATTACTATGATCGATCAATATAAAGAAAGTATAATTATAGTATGATTCTTTAGAAGATGATCTTGGGACTCTCCTAATTATTTATTCTAGACCCTCTACTCTTGTTTATAAAAGGATAGAAACTCCTATCAACTAAATTACTCAATTAGTTATTAAGATATCATAGATCTTTTCTTATCTCTTTTTTATTATTAAGTCATCACGTGATTCTATGAATAATAGGAAGAGGAAAGAAGATAAATCTAGTTATCTTTACAAATCAATATCATTATAACTCTCAGATCCGATGATAATACACTCGTAGATCTGATAAAGATTTTTTGAATGACACCGAAAGATATGCATCATAAATTTAATATATCATTATTTGATTTTAGTTTTTAATATTAAATTTTTTATATAATAATAATATATTATAATTTTTATACTTATAGATAATTCCAATCAAGTTTCCTATACAACATACATAAATACCTAAATAGTCATTATTTTCTCATGGTTTAAATGTCGAGCACTAACACAAATGGGTTCCACGTAGACATTCCAACTAGTACACTTTTTTGCGAAAAAAAAAAAGTGTTCCTTACCTTTCGGTGATCGTAAGATAATTGTTTTCTATAAATTGGAAAGACTTAAATAAAAGGGATAAGAAATGATGCACTTTTTCCATTACCTTTGTTATATCCAACCTTTTTCTTTAGTTTAAAAGCAAAGAAATGAAAGACTTCAATGTTGATTTGGAACACCCAATGACTCATTTCATCGTCTTCAATAAAGAAAGGCTATTGTATCCATTGTAGGACACGTTATCTAGCTTCTATAGCAACTTACCCATGCTCCTTTAGAGTGAAGAGGTTCCTTCCCAATTAAGATGGACCAATCTAGCAAGGATGTGTCACAAAGTCCTATCTCTAATCTTACCTTGTGATCATTTTTTGCACGTTTATTTATCATCTATAATTAAATAAAATTACAATAATAATGCCCAAATAGTTTGAAATTAATCTTAAAATATTTTTTCTAGAAGCATATCTACCAAAACATGTGTTGCTCTGCCATCTAATCCAAGTGACAATGGCAACCACATCTTATTTAGAACACTAGAAAAAACTCAAATCAAATAGGCTCAACTAAGAAAAGAAAAAAGAACTTCTCATTTGCATCAATGATTGTACTATCACCAATCAAATGATCCTGAACCAAATAATTTCTCGGGTTTGGCAAGAAGATTTTTTTTTTCAAAAAATAGTATACCTACTTCAAAAATCTTAAAAGAATAAATTAATATTAGTTATCTAATAAATATGTAGTTATATATATATATATATATATATATATATATATATATATATATATATATATAATTGGGTCACAAAAATATCTTATAAAGATATTCGATTTGTTGATATACTCTGAAATATTTCATACATTATTGATATATTTTAATTACTTTATACTTCATTTGTTATAAATTGATTGAAATGATATTTACGATTTTATATCTAATGAGATGATATTCTTGAATCTTTTATATCCTGTCTAGCATTATGATGTTTTGTTTCTGTTTCTTTTGTTCTGAATATATTTTATCATTTATTGAATTATTTTTAATTTATTTTATTATTATATAAATTTTTAATGTTGATTATTTAGAATTATGGACAAGTATTATTTATTGTTGTATCATCGAAGATTGACGTGATGCGAATGGTGACTTGCAATTGTAATGATCGCAAGATAAAACTGAAACGGTCCCACCGTAAGCCGCCCATTCATTGCATCTTCGTGCTGCTACAGTTCGACTCTGGACTGCTCTCCGCAATAATAAAAATGCACTTTTTTTTACCATAAAATAGGACCAATAGATTCCTTCCATGTCCTCCTCCACCGAAACCCGTGGATAGGACATCTCTCTCTCTGCAATTGATGTAGTGTGTGGGAGTAGACTTCCGGTAGGCGGAGACTCACTCGAACTGGCGATGGATCTATGGCTCGGATCGCACCAGGCCTTCTTCGCCGCTGTCCGATCGGGTGATGTCGACGCCGTCCGGTGCCTCGTCGAGGAGCTCGACCCCGCTGCCGCGGCCGCCCTGGCGACGGCCCAGACGGAGGCGGGAGAGACAGCGCTCTACATCGCGGCGGAGAACAACTCCGAGGAGCTCTTCCGCTACCTCCTCCGCTTCTATGACTTCGAGGCCGCCGCCATCCGCTCCCGCGTCGACCTCGACGCCTTCCACGTCGCCGCCAAGCTCGGGCACGTGGGTGAGCCCTCGCCCCCACTGGTTTTTGCTGTCGATCTCGTCCTCTTTTGATCGGTTTCTTGTTTCCATGAGAGGGAAAGCCAGATGCATTATCTATGAAAAAAAATTGAAACTTGCAAGCATTAAAGGTGAAGAACTTGATTTTTTGGAAGTCGATTAATCAAAATGCTTTGTCGATTGTGTTAATCTGTGCGGCTGATGGGCTTTTCGAAGCGAGCAGAAGTCGGTAATGATCTTCTTTGGGGTACATGTGAGTCTGCGATTCGATTTCTAACGCAAGTTTTAATAGATGAATGAGACGATGGATCAAAATTCACCCTTTTAGATTCATGGGTGAGTGAGCTTTTGACTTCAATCGGCAGAAATTTTGACTTGTTTTGAGATGTATGTCCATTTCCTTAGTCAATAACCAACACTACCCCAATTGGCAGGGGCCTCTTGCCTGGGCTGCTCTTTTTCAAAGGCAATTTGCAGATGGATGAATTAATTGGAATCCTGAAGAATGCTAAAATGGGGTTTACATTTCGATCTTTGATGATCTAGGGAAATTCGTATTTGTGGATGTTGCTTGATACAATCTCATGTGTTTGCTATATTCTGGATCTTGTATTATGCAATCAGGAAGGCCATCAAATTTTCTAGGACAGCTGTTTTTTTTAGATTAAGCTGACTTGTAAGTAATCCAAATGTGACGAAACATAAGTCATCAGACTTGACTTTAATGGAATATTATGACATCAATGATAGAAGGAAACCTTCACTTTGTATGCAGATTGTTCGTGCAAGTTTAGATTTTTTCTTTTTTGGCAAAACTGAACTAGCAAAAATGGTTGCTTTTCTAAGATCTGCCGCCGTTAACATTTATCGCTGGTCCAACTATCCAGAATTCTGAGTTATTTATCATGATCTGGACTCAATCATGTCATTTCTATTCACCAATTCACCTCATGGGTGTCGGTTGTACTGGTAGGATGGGTTGGACATGCAGTACATCAAAGCTTTGCTGCTCGATATACTTTTTTTTCAGAATCTCGACCGGTCATTCTTTTTTTTCTGCAGGGATTGTGAAAGAACTTCTCAGCCTGTGGCCTGCTTTCTGCAGAGTATGTAATTCATCAAATACTAGTGCCCTTTACTCAGCTGCGGTCATGGATCATTTGGACGTGGTGAATTCCATTTTGGATGTGGATGAGAGCTCAGCAAGAATTGTGAGGAAGAATGGGAAAACGGCATTGCATACTGCTGCTAGAGTTGGTTATTATCAAATCGTGAAAGCACTTCTACAGAGAGATCCAGGGATAGTCTCTATAATAGACAAGAAAGGCCAGACTGCACTACATATGGCTGTCAAAGGTCGCAGTCTTGATGTTGTGGAGGCGTTATTGCAAACTGATATTGCTATTCTCAATATGCGTGACAAGAAGGGGAACACAGCTTTGCACATAGCGACCAGGAAATGGCGCCCACAGGTATAGAAATACTAGCCCTGTTCCACTTGTAATATTAGTAATAGTGACAAATGTGTATAAAGATTTTGTTGCAAAATTGTTTATCACAGACTATATTTTTTCCTTTTTACTTGATTGATCAGAAAGACTTTTGACCTTGTGAAACATTAACAATAGCGATTTTAATGTTTTCTCTTTGGTTAGACATCACGCTACTTCTTTCCCATGAATCCTTGAGGCATAACTTGACATTAAGACGACCAACTAATTTTTGTTGCTGACTCTTTCACAATATATGGTAGTATATTCTTCTTTTAAATACGATGGAGTTAGGTCTACCATTGTATAGTGTATAACCACTCAATTCTTTATGCTCGGTGTACGAGTAACATTAGTATCAGCACTTGGACCATTCAGTAACATTTTGTAGTAGATTCATATTGACGTTGACTTTCAGTCACTGGACTTTGAAATTATATTTTAGTGCAGTGTAATGACCTTTTGGATTCATGACTTCTAGTTTTCTCTTTCCGATGGCTTCCATGGTCCGAGTGACACCAAGCTCAGGGTTGCATTATTGTTATCTTGACTCAACTTTAAAGTGAAACTTTTGTTATTGAGTGGATCGTGTTGCTGTCATATTTCTCTTTTCTTGCAGATGGTACGGCTTCTTTTGTGCTATGAGTCTATCGAGGTCAATGCCATCAATAATCAGAATGAAACCGCAATGGACTTGGCCGAAAAGATCCCATATGGTGAATCTCAAATGGATATTTTGGAGAGCCTATCAGAGGCAGGTGCCAAGCATTCAAGGAATATTGGCAAAGATGATGATGAGCTGCGGAGAACTGTCAGTGACATAAAGCATGACGTCCATACACAGTTCATACAGAATGCTAAAACAAATAAACGTATGTCCGGGATCGCAAAAGAGCTCAGGAAACTGCACCGTGAAGCTGTTCAGAATACCATCAATTCAGTGACAATGGTAGCAGTTCTGATTGCATCCATTGCGTTCATGGCCATATTCAATTTGCCCGGTCAGTATCTCCAAGATGGTGGAGAAGTTGGCAAGGCTTATATAGCTGATGTAAGGGGGTTCCGTGTGTTCTGCCTCTTGAATGCCACTGCTCTCTTTATTTCTCTTGCTGTCGTTGTGGTACAGATCACTTTGGTTGCATGGGAAACCCGTGCTCAAAAGCAGGTTGTTTCGGTAGTAAACAAGCTCATGTGGACTGCCTGTCTCAGCACTTGCTCGGCTTTTCTCTCATTAGCGTATGTGGTTGTGGGGAAGCAAGCATCATGGATGGCTACGACAATAACAGCAGTTGGAGGTCCTATCATGGTGGGAACTCTGTTGACCATGAGTTATCTTGTACTTCGACAGCGTTTCAGGATTGGTGAAGACTCTCAAAGACGTATCAAGAGGGCCAGCGGCAGCAAGTCCTTCTCCTGGTCTCTTTATTCTGGTTATTCAGATCCAGATGTGTTTTCTGATAATGAGAAGAAAATATATGCTCTGTAGGTATGACCATTATAACGTATAGCATCCACAAAGTCCAGCTACTCCTATCTTTGTAAATAATTATGGAACTTATCACTCGTTTGGCAGCTTGGATAAGAAGTGTTCTTTAAGCTTTGTTCTTCGATAAGGATAACGAAGGGGTGAAAGTTATGCAATCTGTGTAAGAACTATAAAGTCTAGCAATGAACGGTAGTCGATATGAGTTAATGTACCCTCCTTTTTGTCAATTAGATAATAACAGGCTGGAGATATGAATTGCTACTCCCTCCTTGTCATCATTAGAATGAGCTTCCAGTTGTCCAGTTGGTCTGAGTGAGATATTTTAACCTCAAATTGGCTTATATTAGGTCTGAGTGAGATATTTTAACCTCAAAGGTTGAATCAAAGAGTCTGTTCTACAGAAGGTTCTTAAATGATTGAACTCAACAAAATGGCAAGTAATGCTGGATTCAGAAGTTGAAACCTACCTGGATATGTTGCTTCAACTTGTTTTCAAGTCCATTTTTGCTGGCCTTGGACATGGTAATCTGACACCTCTGGCTGAGACACAACTCTTCTGGTGTGTCATTTGTTGCATTTTGCAAGTACAAATATTCCCTTTGTTTCCTTGTTCAGTGAGGATTGAATGATCAAGTCAAAGTATGAGACAGGTTGGATGATGCTGAATATTCTACATGTAGTTATGCTTGTTACTTAGATTTGAATCTTGGCTGATGTTAATAGTTAATAAAGTGATCGAATTGATTCAGTTTCCTTCCAGTATCACCTTCTTAGAGGGGAATGGCAATTTCACTACTGAAGAGTTGGAGCACAAACTATACTGAAATAAAATAAAAATATCTCCAGCATAAGATAATGGCATTCAAGTATAATTCAAGGATTGTGTGGTTGAAGTAAAGGAATGCTGATTTGTCTCATGACAAGCTGACAAATAGAATAAGGACAGAATTTTTTTGTTTCTTCCATTAATGCCAATAGAGAGAGAGAGAAAAAAAAAAAACTATTTTGGCTACTATATCTTTATCTTTGACTTTTCTCAAACTAAAATCTAATACAAACAACAATATTACGTTGCACTTAGTTACCAGAAAAAATAATTTTTTTGTTGATAATTATTATCGAATGGTTTTCTTATTGATAATTATTATTAAATTTAGTTATGTTAAGTTAAGATTTGATTATCTGATATGAATGCTGATTTAGAACCAATCGAGATTAGCTGCTTGTCGATTTTGATTGTGCTAAACCTTGTAAAACTGTATTGTTGATCATTTTTAATTATTCTAATTTAATATTTAAATTAGTTTTGAGCTTAGATTATTCGATTTATATTTTCTAATATATTATTAAGAGTATTTAATATCATAGATTAAGAATATTTAATGTATTGTTAAGATGTCGATCACTTGATACTACTAAAATCTTAAGAGCAAAACCCCGCACACCGACCCACCGTAGCTAAAGCAGCCGTTCAATATATGATCTCCTTTGCTTTCCCATTGGCAAACACGGTCATCATCTCCGCGAGGGACTCGACGTTTCTTCGTGCCCCCTCTCTCTTTCTTCGCCTCGGAAGCTCTCCTTCGAATGGAACCTTCTCCTCTGCTGGCTGAGGATGCAGTCGTCGGTCGCCCCCCACCGCCATCCCACGACGGCTGTCGGAACCCTGACGCCGGCTTCTCCGACGGGACCGGCGCCCTGCTTCTGGTCTTGGGATACCTCCGGCTGCCGGAGCTGTTGGCCTTCCAGAGGGTCTCGCGGTTTTTCAGGGACGCAGTTGCCGGAGACGGCCTGCTGTGGCGGCGCGTCGCCGTTCAGAGTCCGTTGAGCGGGCGGCTCACCGATGACGCCCTCCTGCGCATAACGTCGAGGGCTGAAGGAAAGTTGGAATCTTTGGCTCTGATGGACTGCTGGAAGATCACGGACGACGGGCTCATGCAGGTTGTGGATCGAAATCCTGGCATCGCCAAGGTGATTACTTTTCACCCCTCGAATGACTTGAGGTTTCTTCTGGTACTTGTTTCGGTTGACATTGGAATGAGCTTTAATACCACCATAAAGATTTTGAACTAATTCTGTCTCTGCAGTGAGAATAGAGCAGCAATTGCAGCGATTAGGCACACTGTAAGAAGAAACAAAAAGAAATCTTGCAGTAATTACTGTAGTGTGTGAGTTAATTTTTATGAAGAAACCTTTTTGATGAATAGTGAGTTTATGGAGAGTATTCAAAGATTCAGATGCATCCAAAATGCTACGGTCAGTTGGCTTATGGTGATCACTAATATTCTACTGCATCCAAGATGCGATGCTCTAGATATAAGAGGTTATCCAACGGTAGCACACATTGATATTGACCTTCATAAGAATAGTACATGAAAAATAGATGTTATAGATAATGGATCTTATTCCATTTAGGCAATTGAAGTATGGTCAGGTACAAGGACATGGAAGCTGGATGATTCGACTATGTAAATTTTCTGTCAAATTCTTTTGTGTACTGTTCTAAATAGCACCTGATATGTTATTTCTTGTATATTTAGAGAAGCTCAGTTCGGTTTAGGAATTCTAATAAAATTTGCATGTATGGTGGTTCTAGTGATGGTAACTAAATATGCAAAACCCTCGGGAAAGCAGTGGCCAGTGTGGTCCATTTTCTTTTATCTTAGACAGCAGAATCTCAAAATTTTTGGTGCTCATGCGTTCACTAAACCCAAGTCTACGAAATTTTGCAGCTTCATGTACCAGGATGCACATACTTGACTGCAAATGGTATAGTAAGAATTGTTCAGTGGCTCTATGAGCACAAGGGCAATCTGAAATCTCTCCAGATTCATGGTATCTGCAACATAACCAAAGACCATCTTGACATCCTCAAATTGTTGTTGTTAGGAAGTAATCACCAACAGGTTCTACCACCAACTAACGACCGCTACTGGCACTCCTTTACATTCATCAATCATGATGACCGCCCAATAGATGTTGATATTTGCCCCAAGTGCAAGCATGTAAGGATGGTGTTTGATTGTACAAGGGAGAATTGCAGGTTGGTGTCCTCTGGCTACCATATAATTTTAATTTTCTTTCTTTCAAATATTTGGAGTGAAATATCAAATGATGTTGTTAGAGACTTATTATCTATACTCTTTTCAAGTATTTTCTCTTTAGTAAATTACCATCCTTCACAAACCTAATCGAAGCTATTGGTTTCTGGACTGTTGCATACAAAGTCTATTATTGTCATATTCCTAATGACATCTTGGTCTACTGTCCTGAATCGTCGAGTTCTTGTGCTTGATTTCAAGTTAACTTGATTGTTCATATCATGATTAATGATGGTTCAGTTGGTACTTGCTAGCATTTCATTTAATGAAACTGCTCCTTAATATAGAAAGCGTTGCAGGTCAATGAAGTCCCAATGGACAGAATGCAGAGGGTGCTTCTTCTGCATTGCAAGGTGTGAGGACTGTGGAGGTTGTCTCGATTTTGATGAACTTGGGGAAGAAACTGTGTGCTCCCATCTATTGTGTGTGAAGTGTTGGCTTGATCTTCCAAAGTGCAATATCTGCAACCAACCATATTGCAAAGGACATTCGAATTTCCTAGAGGGATCTTCCAAGTTTCTCGGTTTTGTATGTGAGCAGTGTATGGAATCCACGAGCTCATCAAATTATTCTACTTGTGGTAACTTTTACCATTATTTCCTGATTGTATCTTGCTTGAAATTAATTAGTTTCAACATAATATCGTTGCTTTTGATAAACATGTCTTATTATGTTTACTTTTCTATATTTTACTATCATCATCTAGCAGCAGGTCAAATGACCTTGTACGACCCTCACTAAAGTTTGATGTTTCTTTCAGGATAACTCTGGTGGTATTCAATGAAGACTGTTCTCTTGGTCTGTGTTCAAACAGGACGTGGTTTCACCTCGGTTGTGTTTAAGCAGGACCCAGAGGAAGCAAAGCTTGATGCAAAATTCCTAATACATTATCTGGTGTAATCTAACTTGTGGCAACTATAGGCCGACTGATTTGATCATGGACATTATTTAAGATCATGTTTTACTATAGATTTTCTTAAAGTTTGTCCAACAAACATCTGGACTATATTCTCTTTGCTGCATAATGGAATCTGAAGTCATGTAACTTTGTCCCTAGCATAAACTGTCATCATATGGTTTTAAAGAGGCAGACAGTTTCGATACTTGACCTCTCATTAGTCTGTGGTTAATACCTATTATTTTAGATGTTTTAGTTTCTTTGTAGATGTATCTTTAAACATGTAAGATATTCATGGAACTATCTGGAAAATTCTATATGCGTCTGCAAATATATTCTTCGGTTATTATTCTGGCAGGTATGACATTATATGAAGCTGGCTTAAGAGACTTCACCACCAAACAAGTTCTTTAGAGGTTTTCCGCATTGTGAAGCAAGCCCCCCACCCATTTCTTGTTTGAAGCCCAATTCTCTCAGTGAATGATCAGAAGCTCATGCAGGCTCAGATGACCTGATTTGCACTATTGAAGGCAGACTTGTACTGCAAGCTGAGCAAAAGTATTACTCTTTCATACTTTTCTAAATATATTGAATGATATATTTAGCTTTGCAGTTTGAATTGTGAATATCCAACAAAGGGTTAGGATCCTCTCTGGTTGTTGTTCATATTGAATCCTCATCATGTTGTTCATGTGATAGCAGGTTGGGCTTTATGCTTCTGTTTCAGATGGCAATCTTTTCTTAGCCTCACTTCAGCTTTTGTAATCCATCTAAAGCTTCTGACCCTCCTTTTCTAAGATACTACAGATCTTTTTACTACTGGAATCTTTTTTTCGATGTATGTTAATTCGACGATCCAGAATTATAATTGTTAATGTTTCATTGGTTCCTTCTGTGGATATATTTGGCTGTTTGTGATGTGCGATGGTACCTCTTTAAGCATCCATTATGGAATTATCGGAATGGGTTCCATATTGCTGAAATCTCATCATTAGTACATTATGAATGGGTAAAATAGATTCAAACCACATTATATGATGTATATAATATCATGAGCTATCTCGGAGTATGTGGTAAGAAACATATACTATAATCTCAAAAGATCAATGTGTATTATCTCGGCACATAAGCATAGTAGATTACATGGTAAAATATATTTCAGAATCACAACCCCTTATTTGATGTTAATAAGGGATCATTTGGTGCGGCCCTATAGGCTCGAGGAATTATCTGCTTTGGGCGATGAGCGAGCTCCTCTCGTAGGAGAGCCAAGGGTTCATAATCGAGGTGCAGGCATCGGGTCTTCCTTCTAACATCTTATCAGATGTGATAAAGACTAATTTAGATGAAGACTCTCATTAGTTGATCAAGGAAGATGACTTCCTTCTAACATCTTATCAGATGTGATAAAGACTAATTTAGATGAAGACTCTCATTAGTTGATCAAGGAAGATGACGAAGACCGATTGCGGATTAGAAAAAGGAATGTTTGACAATTTGGGTTATGCTAAATGGTTTTATCTTCATCTTCTTTGTGGGAAGCCACATTGGCCAAAATTTAGTACCAAAAGTCCAAAAATAATTGGTCAAAGGTGACCATACTTGGCCTAGTTGACCAATAGATCCAACACTCTTCTCCCCTCTACAAACAACTGAGAGAATTGAATTAACTTAATTCATCCAAGGCCAAATAAAGACACATTTCGAATGCTTCCAAGGTGTATTATATTCCAACTAATGTGCCAAAGAATTCAGGTCCCGTTAGCCCCTTTTGAACCCACTTGTGGACAGTCATAATAGAGGCCGACATAGCAGTGCTCTTTGGATAGGGTATATGCATCCTTCATTTTACTAGCATTATTGTATTTACAAGTAGAGAAGGAGGGTATTATCTAATGTTAACCCCGCATTGAGAAGATCTTTGTTTCAGACAATGTGCCGTGTGCTGTATACTGATAGATAGAGCAAGTAGGTGACACTGAAAGCCATGATTATTCAGATGGAAAAGAAAATATCAGATGGACTCATTTTGGTTCATCAATTTGCATTCAAGAGCCAAGGAAAGAAGAACAATTGGCTGCTTCCTTCACCTCCTCACCAAATAGGAGAGCAAGAGGTGGAGTTGGCACGTGCATGAGAACGGGTCAATATTGATGGAGCTATAAAGGAGGGTGCAGGAAGTGGAGTTGAGCCTACCTTAGTCATTGTTCCCTCCTTGTCTCTCTAACTCAAGTGGTTTTGTTGGAGGAGGAAGGGTGAGATAGGATGGGGAGAAAGCCTTGTTGTGAGAAGGTGGGGTTGAAGAAGGGACCATGGACAGCGGAGGAGGACAAGAAGCTTATCGACTTCATTCTCACCCAAGGACTGTGCTGTTGGAGAGCTGTACCCAAGCTTGCAGGTCTGTTTCACTTTTGCTTTTGTATGAGGAAGAGGATTAATGTTTGGTTTTGGGAATGATTCGGTGGTGTTGTTGACGCAGGATTGCTGAGGTGTGGCAAGAGTTGCAGACTAAGGTGGACAAACTATCTCAGGCCTGACCTCAGGAGGGGATTGCTATCAGAAGATGAGGAAAAACTGGTCATTGAGCTCCACTCTCAGCTTGGGAACAGGTATCACTGCTCTCTCGCTCTCTCTCTCTCTCTCTCTCTCTCTCTCTCTCTTATATAACTGGTTATGGGCTGAAGCAATTAACCCTTTATTTCCCTTGTGGCAGATGGTCTAAGATTGCATCTCAACTCCCTGGGAGAACAGATAATGAGATAAAGAACATCTGGAACTCCCGTATCAAGAAAGAGCTGAGGAAGATGGGCATTGATCCCCTCACTCACAAGCCCATCAGCCCTTCGACAGAGGAGCTGCACCGCCACCAGCACCACCAGCAGAAGGAGCAGCAACGACGGTGCATGGATGTGTCGTGTGATGGAGATGAGCAAACTGAGTCGGATTACTCGATGGGTTCCTCAAAGACGGCTGAAGAGGAGGCAAAAGAGAAGAGCACAGCAAGTCCTCGTGATCCTGCAGCTGATGAATCCCTAGGCAACTGCCCCGAGTTCTGCACCGATGAGGTGCCGATGCTACAGCCGCATGAGATACTGATCCCATGTGATTCTTCTGCTTGCTCTTCCTCGTGTTCTTCTGCTTCATCGTCGTCAAGCTCTTTCCCACGCATGGAGCTGCCCGAATCAATGCACCTATGGGGTTCCATCGATCAAGAATTGACTTGGAAATCATATCAGGAGGACTGGAAGTACGATGTGTTCTGCTTCGATTGTTAATGGTTCTTGTAATTTGACAACAAACTAGACGTTGAATGAGAAAGATAATTGCTTTTGTTAGCTCAGCCCACATGAGCAAATCATCTGAAGAAGAATGAGTGACGATTGCTACAGAATGCTAGTCCTCGTAAGTTAAACTTGAACGTATTGGTGGAGTGACTTCAACATGGTTGATATTCTTGATCGACAATCTTCTCTCTTTTGGAGAATTGTGAAGATAATATGTGTTATGGATGATTGTAAAATAACACATTTATTATGAGAAAATAATCGATTTGTTAATTGGATAGCCAATCATAATAAACTTACAACGTATTCTGAGCCATATGAAAAGAGTGTTGAAATGATTAGCTTTGATGTCGATGGATGCTCCTATGTCATGAAATTTGCTACGACTACAAAACGAAGTAGATTGAAAGTAACAATCTAACGAGTGGGAGTCACTTTGCTTGCTAGACAATATTACATGTCATTGGCCAACAAAATGCTGGTTGTTGATGAGTGTACATCATTAATTATTAAGGCCATGAGAAGGAAATTATGAGCATCAACAGAACATTCTTAGCTTACTAAAGCTTCATATTTGATTCATGTGCAGTCCTCTTATTATTTCCATGTGGTTTCTGCTTGAATCATCTTCTGCAGCACAGGGAGTAATAAGTTTCCGAAGAAATTTTCTGCATCGAGGTTGGTAAGATCTCCAGGACGCAAAGACTAAGGCATTAACGTCATTCTCACGTTGAAAATAACCGAGTGTGATCTCCATCATCCACAAATCTATGGTGTTCTACCTCGATCAAGAGTGTTGGAATAGTAACACAGCCTCTATTTTCAACCGAGGATTTGGTTGACTTTGACGTTACCCACAAGTCCACCTCAAATGGGGTAAGAACGTTCCATTAAGTTTGTGATAACAATGCCACCACTCTGACTCGAGGTTCTCTGAGTCGGAACCACTCGGGTTGACTCAAAAGAGAGTCAACAATTGAGTGCCTTGTGGCCCAAATTTCAAGTTGATGTTGTGCTGGTGGCGTAGTTCGATGGAAGACTCGAAGCAAACTTTGGCTCCACGTTAATTGTTCACTCATTAAATCGGATTCGTTCCGGTGGAATTATAAGTGCTTTGCTTTTCTGAAGCTTTTATACTTTGACCAAAATGCATGCATCGATCCATGTAAAACAGTATGATATATTTCAAAAATAATATGGATGAAAGAACTTGCTTCGTTTCATGGTAACAAATATCCATGTTTTTATTGCGTCATGCATGGGTAATTAGTGCATGGCTCTTTGCGTTCACACCACACCGAAATAAGCAGCAGGTTGTCGACGCGCTAAATCTGCAACGCGTTGACTTGGATTCCTCCTCGCCTCTTTTTTCTTCCTTGGGTTTTGGTTTCTCTTCTTCTTCTTCCTCTTCTTCTTCTCTCTCTCTCTCTCGCGAAGCCACCGATGACCAAAATACTTTGAAGAAAGACGCGGTTAGACTGACAGTAGAAGAACACTCCTATCCATCACGATCATTTTGGTCGTTGGCAGTAGCAGTGCGTAACAATGGTTCTCCACTTATAGAATGTTGATCTTATCGCCGAAACAAAACAGAAACATTAATTAGACTGGACAATGAAGTATTCATGTAGGTGATGAACATGCATTCCTTGACTATGCTTTGATGGCATTTTGGAGCTCGTAGCGAATTCTACCATTGCAACTGTGGAGTGGTGGCACACTGTTGGGGTACAGATCTTAACACTTATTACGACGAATTAAAGTGCACAACATATCCTATTAGCCTCTCAGCTAAACTTGTAGTATTCTGACTTCCACATGTCGTCACCGCTGAGGAGATGAGGCTGCTGCGGGGATAATATCGATGCCTCTTCTTGTCACCTGTAGGACCTCTCCTTCCCCACCAATGGAATGGCAAAGCACAGGCAAAAGCACCAAAAAGGCATAGGACAAATCCAATAAAAACCAGCCTACTTCAACAAATTTAATGCACATAATGACCGAAGGTTATATACTTTTGTCATTTCATAGAGCCACCCGATC